ATAGGTTGTGGACTGTCTCATCGCACCAGGAGGGGTCGCGTTTTTGGGGAAACTAACGCCCAAAGAATTGGCATGTTTCCTTAGCCGGCAAGGGGTGGAGTTTCACTGAGAGTGCTTGGGCATATCGAGTTCCATTCAATCATGCAGGTTAAAGGTCATGTCATATCTGGCCTCAGGAGCAACATCTGTAATTAAGAAAGAACGGATTTTAAAGCCTGTGGAACCGTGGGCCGGAATTTCGGACCATACCCCATGGAACACTACAATTAGAGTTGTGCATTCAACTGATTGAACCTTGTGCTGAAGCTCCTGAACATTGATGGTGCTGCACTTTCTAGACTTCCCCTAGGAACGTGGGCACAAAGCTCCAACGCGGCTGACACAGCTTGCCTCTGGAAAGCTGGGTTTGATACTGAGATATTCCGTAGCGAGCCATCAATGTTTCTTGAGGCCAGTTTGAAAGTTCAATCGCAACGTTTTCTGTACAAGGTATATTCACTAGCCGCAGCCTTAGATTGTCCTCATTCTTCTTGAAATGGTCTTAGACTTATGTGCATGTATCAATGGCCATAACCTTGTTTAGTGCATTCTATCCACACTATTAAGTGGGTGCATGCATGCGAATGCGGGCTGCAATATTCACCCCCATGGATGATGACAGTGCTGCACAACTTGTACAGTAATTCGGCTATGTGCTGCCCATGGAATGAAGGGCAAGACATAGCATGTCTGCCAGTCTTTGTGCCTATGTCCTGTAAGACGTCTGTGAGGGTTTGCCCCCTCTCTGGCCGCTGATGCTCGCCTTGGAAAGAGCAATCTCAAGTTTGGCCAAGATGGCGTCAAAGGCCTCCACAGGTGCAAGGCTGGCAGGAACCAAATGGAGGGCAATCCTTTAATGTCCCCTGGCTGGCTGAAAGCGCCGCAAGAAATATGCACGAACCATAGGACTTTTATTGAGTTTTGCAGAGGCAGTCCAGATCTGATTAACCATGATTAAACCTTACTCCTGGAAGGCTATGCATGTGAAGGACACTGATGTTGGACCAGCGATCACAGGTTGCCCCATGTTCATGCAGCCATGGGCACCCATGCACTCGCAGGTTTGGACGGAAGAGGCTGAATACAAGAGTTAAATAAATAAAATTAACTCCAGTGTTAATGCTTTAGCTTTTACACTTGTTCAACCTCTAACTCTAGAAGACTTAACTCTGGAGTTAATTCTGTCAACTTTGCCACGTGTGCAAATAGAGAATCAACTCTGGAGTTAATTCTTTTTCACTGTGTCTCCTTGTTTCCTTCTCTGTGTCTATCTCTTTCTTTTCTTTTGTTGTCTTGTTCATTTGTATTGAGTTCTATAGCCACCTAAAAGGAATTAACTCTTGAGTTAATTCTTTTCCACTGCGTCTCCTTGCTTCCTTCTCTTTGTATAGCGCATTCTTTTCTGTTGTTTTCTTTTTCACCTTTAGCTGTATTGAATTCTAGGCCGGTGACAGGGGATTAGGAAGATAAGAAGATTGGACAAACTAGCCACCAAAAAAGAGTTAACTCTGGAGTTAAGAAAAATTAACTCTGGTATTCACTCCATTTCGGTTTGGACCATGATACTCCAGGGGTTAGGCCGCCATACAGCCATACACGAATTATTGCACAATTTGCACTCACAAGGAATATGATATTTCCACCCCATCCTTAATCTACTGTACTTAACCATCCATTCTTCGAGCTCTTGATCGATCTATTCCCCTCGGACGTCGGGGTTTCGTTGTGATTCACCCCGTGTCGCCTCGGCAGACCGGGCTTCTTCTTTCGCCTGGCGGAACACATCGAGTTGGGGGCCGTCCAAGCCTAGACACGACTAATGACTAATGGGCAGTGCCAGATATTTGCCCATCTATTGGAGTGGTTTGGGGTCAAATTTAGACCATCTATTCCGTAGAGTGCCGGGACAGGTTCCCTCTTTGGGGTCCGGGTCGTGGCCGGAAAGTGAACATTTTTTGCGTACCTCAGATGCTGCGGAATGATTGGTGGCCGAAGGGAAGAACATGGGAGAAGGCTTGGAGAACACATGATTGACCCTTGTATGATGAAAAGGTGGGAAAATGGACTCCAAACTGTGACCGAACTACCCGCCATTGAGCGGAACAAATAACATCGAAATCAAAGAAACTATCAACGAATATGTGTACCTCGCGTGCGCCTGCCGGATGTGACCTTTTCGGGTGATGTCCTATTCCGGCCGACCGGTTGGGTGGTGGATGCAGTGGAGTCATTGTTTTTTTAGGCGAGGTCCGGTGGCACACGGCTCACATGCAAATATGGCGAGGTGGAAAAGACCCTGGTTGCTCAAGGAGACTTAGTCTTCCTGGAAGGGCCCTGAGAGTCTTCCTGGGCATGTTCTAAGATTATGATTATATATGATTATATGTATGCAACCATGTGGTGTTTATGGAGCGATGTTTTCCAGCTCGGCGCCGAAGATCGACGCCTTGGCTTCCAGTGGAGTGTTTTTAGTGGTTTTAGCCCGGCGGTGGGCGTGCTGGGCGGCACTGGGAGGCATCTTAAGGTTTTTGCAGTCATATGTTGTAATGGGTCCCTACCTTGTGGTTGCTACGGCAGCCAAGGACACCACTGGTTGTACCAGAATCTTTCTCAGCCAGGACTACCCCAAATGTGTTTGTTTGCATTGACGGACTTCTCGAATCAATTCAATAGCAGACTTGACGAATAGGAATAGAGCGGTTTCTCCGCGTGGCTGTTGGATGCTGTTGGCCTGTGGATCGTCGATATCGTCACCAAGAAACAAGGTATAGCAAGTTCAACCTTTAATCCTAGCACCCTACTTATTTGACCCCTGTCCATCAAAAGTTCTTCATTTTGCCTCCCACGGTCACTTGAACAAGTGCTCACTCAATCTCTTGCTTGCCCATTGCCTTCAATCCCGATTTGCCTAAGTCGAGTTCGAGTTATTCCCTGAAAGAATCTATGCTGCTTGTAGGTCATACTGTCATACTGATCCTGTTTTCTCCTATGGCTTTCACGCGTGAGGCAACCTTGTCGCAGTGCGGACACGATCGAACACGCCCACACCCGCGGCCTCTAACATGCTAGCAGCGGATGGCAGCGGTGCGTAAGGCCCACATCAAGCAAGGCCGCAGCAAGAGACGCTCTAGAAGCAAAGTGAAGAAAACCCGTCCTCAATAGGTTTAGTCTAGTCTTCTTTCCCATGTCTTCTCCAACAGCGGCTGCTCTTCTCAACCGGCTCTATAGCCCCTACAACGTATAGTCAAGGCCTGAGAAAAAGAAAGTTTTTGCTCCAATGGGGCCTAATGGGCCTATTACTGGCTACCTTTTCGTCCCAAACTCACGCATTTGGCCTTTTGGGAAACAGCAAATACTTGGGTCATGTTGGGTCATCTATCATCCAAATGCCTGGTGACTCCACTGTTTCTCTCTTCAACGCGCATGGTGACCTTCTCTTGGGGTCTATGATCTCAGCTTCATTGAGCCAATCAACCCAAAAAGTCCAGGATGGTGATTGACGTGAAGGAGTGCACTATCACTATAAACCTTCGGCAGACACTGACTGGATCTGCTAGCCGCTAGCCCCAAGGTCTGTGTATGGCGAAAAGCGATCGGTTGAACAAAGCACACCGAGGGTTTCGAATCTTTTGGAGGGGAACTCTCAGATCAGGTAAAGATCTAAGGGACAATGAAATGTATCTTTTGCAAAAAGAGCGATGTGAGCTCAGAACAGTCGGTCTTTGCATCTGGTTCATTCTGTTTCATCTTTCTGCGACATGAAAATATTCGAGTATATTCGAGTGAAACCGACAATGAAACGTGTGAAAAGAATGTGAAACTGAGTGCAATTCACAGCTGAACTTCCTGTTCAGGGTCATCATCCACAACCACGAAATTCTTCGGAGGCGCCATCACTTGCATGGCGGTGGGGTATGAGGCGGGGGGGACCACATCCTAGGCCAGCAAGTTTTCTCTTAGGTTGCAAGGACGCTACTAGGGGCTCCTGGCATCGATACTGGGAGCAAGAAGCTACTAGGGGCCCCTGGCTATTAGGCGCTCCTGGCATCGCTACTATAGGAGCAAGAAGCTACTAGGGGCTGCTGGCATCGCTACTATAGGAGCAAGAAGCTACTAGGGGCTCCTGGCATCGCTACTAGGAGCAAGAAGCTACTAG